AGGTCACACTTTCGATTCGGACCAACTTCACACTTTTCCCATTTGCTTTGATTTTGCTTTAATTCTGCTCCGGGAACAGTAACTGGACCTTGCCCCCCCCCCCACTTTTAAAAGTGTTCCGCCGCCGATGGATACAGGTCAACTTGTATGCAACAAACTTGTACGCAGGACAACTCGTACGTGACAAACTTGTACCCAGGACAACTCGTACCCGGACCAACACGTTCACGGTCCAATTCCTACACGGGCCAACTCATACGTGTTCATGAGCATAGACTAGCGTAGTACACACTGTCCTGGCCCACACCGTGTGCTATACGACAAGACAATACCACCCGTAGTGAGAATTTAAATCGTGTATCCGGTCTGCTGCATTTGTAGACTTTAACATACGCTGCTAAATACAGTGCACTGCGCTAATGTGTAAATCAAATCATTGTATGTCTGGACAAATTCTCCATGCTAGTCGGTGCTTTTTGCCCAACTCATACTCGGTAGTCATTCAGCCTACACATGGTGTGCCTGATTGTGTATCGCATTCTCCTGCACTCTGGAAACAAACAGTTATGTTTGCTTTTGGAATTCCAAAAATATATTTAACTAAAAATTAAGTGCCAATAAAATTATTTGTGGTCGATGATTCTCGACTCCATCCAATCGGGAAACGGTATCGTTCAATTTATTTCACTTGGCTTATTTCACGTACGAGTTGGCATGCATACGAGTTGACTAATCTGTGTATGAGTTAACTTGCATATGAGTTGACATTTTGTAGTTCCCACACACTCTTTTAAAGTTTAGGTCTTCTTAAAAAAAATGGCACAAGACATCAGATAGCCCCAGTAGTGTGGCCGCGGTATTACTGCGCTGTACCTCATGGCCACACACCAGGTTCCCTAAGCTATCGAGGAGTTTGTCCGAAACAAATCACAAATCTTTTACATACAGTTGTATTCTGTGATGTCTCAGCTTCTTTCCTCCGGGTTGTTTAGTTGTCCTCATATCAAATTTTTTCGAGAAATTAAAGCATCTTTCTGAAACCCATATGCACCCAAAAATTGTCTGTTGATAGCAGCCATTTTTAATGTAAGAAGCAATGACCCAAAAGCTGTGACGTCGCATATATGCAAATCAATCTTGTCACTCAGGCGTGCAAGTTGCGATTCAACAGCTGTTTCTTGTACAATGGATTCGGTTGAGAATGAGGGACTGTACAAGAAACAGCCAGCCGCGGCCTCACTAGTGGGCCTTTGTATCATTTAAATTTCGGTATTGGATTTGGAGTTTATATTTCTGTGGAATTGCCCATAACTGTTTGGTTTAGAGTATTAAATAAACCAAGGTTTCACTCACCTATATTTTTATTCACATGTAGACTGCATGCAGATTTTTCTCAAGTCAAGCAGCAAACCTCCAAATTGTCACAAAAGTCTAAACTCGATCTTTGCAGTTCATTTAAATTCAAGTTCATGATGAAATGAACCCGTGGCAAGCAACTCATGGGGCAACTAAGTTCCAGTTCAAGTGACCAGTCAAAACTCAGTTCATTGGTTTTCCCGTGCATCACTTGATTTGCTGAATTGAAGTGCGGTCTCAGCAGGCTCGTCATGCAGACTCCGCTGGGCCTGCTGTCCCGGGAGGAAGCCGTGCCGATTCGGTGGTCGGTGGTGACTGCCGCTCTTTACCCGGAGTTAATCATTTCGAGACTAGTTTTTGTAAATTGTAGCTCACAACAATTTCCACTCGCCAAGCTGGTGCAGAAGACTCACCCAGCACTCAGTAAGTTGCTGAAAAGGATGTAAACATGTAGCTAGCTGCAGAGAAGTAGAAGTTTGAAGCACAAAGTAAATATATCCACGGCGGCGGCCTGACGGAGGTACAGAAAAAGGCCAGACTGTGTGGGCGAACGGTGCAAGAAGTCCCAGCCAGAGTACAGCGGCGTGTTTGCACGTACATCGTGGTAGTCTGGTTCCCAGGCCAAAATATTCTGACTATTTCTTACGAGTTCTTTCTGATTATTTGTTTATTGTTGATCGAAATATTTACACGACTTGTACTTTTTTATACGTCGCCTAGAAACTTCTACTCAATTCAATAGCGCCCCCTGTTGAGCACTTCGGCATAATTTTGTTGATATAAAGCGCGCGCCACGTGCATATTAAGTAATTTCAAATTACAGGCAACAACCAGTGTACACAACGCCCCCATTCCCTTGATTAGATTTTGTTTTCGGATATAGCGCCCTCTATACGATCTGAAGCGATGGACCCCCAAAAAAGCAATGTAGCGCCCTCTATCTATTGTGTTGAATGAACTTTGCTGACAAGAAGTGAATATCTAATAAAAGTTATAAAGATCATGGAACAAAACCAAACACTGTGAAGTGATTACAATTTTTAGTAATTGGATGAGGTTTTTATATTTCTTTTAAATAAGGCTCATTTTAGCATACTGCTGACGTATTTCAGAGAGAAAAACAAAATCGTTTCTATAGATACGTTTGGCTTATTTTAACCTTATTGAACATCTAGTCAGCCAAGGAATTTCGGTGTTTTTTTTTTCTCTGAGGTGGAGTTCAAAGACTCCGTTTATTCCGATTTATCTTTGCATATCACAACAAAGAACAGATAACAAACAAACATAATTAACAAAGTAAAGCAAAAAAAAAATACAATCATGAGGTAATGGAAAAAATACAAAACAATTAACATATATCAATATAAACCCAATAAACCTGGAAACATATAAACAGGAAACACTTAGGCAAAACATTAATAAGTAAACAAAATTCAAAACAAAACAAAAATTATTTAGCAAATAGAAACATCAAAGGACAATAGACACAGATAAACATGCAAAAATTACATCTAGGTGTGTCACCTTTTTCTGTGGTTGATCCCTATATGTTTGTGTTCTATAAAAAAGTCACATTTTGAGCTTTTTAAAGATCACCTTTGACCTCATTCACATCCAGCAAGAATTGGAGCTATTTCTGGTATAGCAGCTGCATTGTAGCGATAGACACGCCAAGTTTATAATAAACTTATGACGACTAGAATTAAGCCTAAGAGCCAAATCTTCTTGATATTACATTGACATTTTCAGATATTTCTTGAGAAAGGTAAACGATGATTGTGAACATTTAGCCCTATAATACCAACATGTTCTTATCCAGAGTGGCTTAAAAAGCACTTTAACAAAAATAAATAATGAACATTTATAAAGCGCCAAAATCCGCCTAAAAAGACACTTAAAGCACATCACAAAATTAAAAAATAAACCATTATTATAATAATTAAGTAAGAAACAAAATTGTACTTGTAACGTAACAAGGTGTGAAAATATCAATACAAAGAATTAAGATGTCAAAGATAACAATAGTAAACAAAAATTCGTCAGGTGCCTGGAAGAAGGTCGTAATTAGGCAAAGTTGGTCAAAAGATCAAATTCGGGTTTTTCGGGTAATCAATAAAGCTTGGATATATCTTTCATTTGATATACGTATTGTCTCAAGGGGCTACTTCATTCTGACATAATTAACAATAAACAAACGACGGAAGGAGGTTTCCATTATTTGTGCCCAGCAAATGGTCGTTAGCGCGTAATTATAATGTAACCAAGTTCCAAGCAGGCTAACATCCCACTTAAATGGGTACGCAAAGCCAAGTTTCTTCCCCACAAAAGGATCTTAGGATTCAACATGCCGCTTAAGCGCAAGTTGAATGCAGGGTGAGTTCACATTTAAGGCAGATGGAGTTCCTGGTAAAAGGTTGTAAGCAGAACAATTTAAATAACTTCAAAATTAAGTAATATTTTGAAATAAAAATGTTCAATATGATTTTCAATATTAAATACTTTCATGGGCCCAAATTTCAGCCTGATGTGATTTTTCATTTAGAAATGGGAGCACAAAACCTTTCAACTCAATAATCTCCAAAAGTGCGTTTTGCGTGCCTGGGCTGCTTACATCATTTTCCTTGGCACACAACGATTTCAAGATGGCAGCACCCCATGCAGGGGGTCAAGCCAGGTCAACTTATTCCACTTCTCCAGATCACCACCTCCAACTTGGGGTGGGGGAAACTCAAACGAGACCGGATTCAAAGGCGGGGACCAATCGAGCAGGGCTTGTAGACTGGATTGAACAAGTTGATGGTGGACTCTTGCTGCGGCCCCGCCCACTGCCCCGCCCACATCAGCATAACAATTATTATCACTGTCATTGATGGTGGACTCTGCTGTGGCCCCACCCGCTGCCCTGCCCACAGCAGCCTAACAATTGTCATCACTGGCGTCGATGGTAAACTCTGTTATGACCCCACCCACTGCCCCGCCCACAGCAGCGTAACAATTGTTATCACTGGCTTGATGGTGGACTCTGCTGTGGCCCCGCCCACTGCCCCGCCCACATCAGCATAACAATTATTATCACTGACGTCGATGGTAAACTCTGTTATGACCCCACCCACTGCCCCGCCCACAGCAGCGTAACAATTGTTATCACTGGCTTGATGGTGGACTCTGCTGTGGCCCCACCCACTGCCCCGCCCACAGCAGCATAACAATTGTCATCACTGACGTCGATGGTAAACTCTGTTATGACCCCACCCACTGCCCCGCCCACAGCAGCGTAACAATTGTTATCACTGGCTTGATGGTGGACTCTGCTGTGGCCCCGCCCACTGCCCCGCCCACATCAGCATAACAATTATTATCACTGTCATTGATGGTGGACTCTGCTGTGGCCCCACCTGCTGCCCTGCCCACAGCAGCATAACAATTGTCATCACTGGCGTCGATGGTAAACTCTGTTATGACCCCACCCACTGCCCCGCCCACAGCAGTGTAACAATTGTTATCACTGGCTTGATGGTGGACTCTGCTGTGGCCCCACCCGCTGCCCCGCCAACAGCAGCATGTCATTTGTCATCACTGGCATTGATGGTGGACTCTGCTGTGGCCCCGCCCACTGCCCAGCCCACAGCAGCATAACAATTATCACTGTCATTGATGGTGGACTCTGCTGTGGCCCCACCCGCTGCCCCGCCCACAGCAGCATAACAATTGTCATCACTGGCGTCGATGGTAAACTCTGTAATGACCCCACCCACTGGCCCGCCCACAGCAGCGTAACAATTGTTATCACTGGCATTGATAGTGGACTCTGCTGTGGCCCCACCTGCTGCCCCGCCCACAGCAGCATAACAATTGTCATCACTGGCACTGATGGTGGACTCTACTGTGGCCCCGCCCACAGCAGCGTAAAAACTATCATCACTGGCGTTGCCGGGCCGATCCTGGGAGCACCGGTTTGGGGGCGGGGAGGGCGGTAGTCATCTGGTAGGAGGACTGGCTCCTCGTCATCTTACCCTTGACCTTTCTGATGACCAGAGTGATGAGGATGATGACAATAATGAGGAGGACTAAGCAGCGGTAACGGCAATCACTGCAATCATCGGTCCATTTGCCAGGCCTAAAAAAATAACATATTTTATAAATTATATTTTTAGCTTTGCATTTTATACCTTGACAATGTGTTGCTGACGTTTTCATGGTCTTTAAAGCCATCAGATACAGAATTCCAACATTGTATTGCTGCATTGCTGGGGAAGTGTCCAATTCTTGTTTTTTTTTAAAATATAATGTTGCACGGATTACAAATGACCCAGGACTTAGTGCTGCATTCCCCACATAAGTTCATGCACGTCAGTGAAATATGACATCCATGGGAGTGTCACATGTGCACCCAGATGCATAAATGTCAGGTGAATATGAATATTCATTGTCCTGATTCATAGCCAATCAGAGTGCTCCATCCAATTTTGTTAGCTTGCCATGCCGTGTGTACAATGGGGTTGCAGATTATTCAAGTTGGTAATTGGAATCAACGTACACGCATATCGAGTTTTCACGAAGAGACAATTTTGGCAAAATCAGATGAAATCATTGAGATCATGAGAATCAATAAAGGGAAAATTTCACCCAAGTCGTATTTTCAGTTTTCACGAAGAGACAATTGTAGCAAAAATGCACGTTGTTCTAAGGGGACAAAATAACGCGCGTGTGCGATTTTGAGTTTTCACGAAGAGACAATTTTCAAGCGCGCGCAAGCAAAATGATGCGTGCGGGCAAAACGAAGCGTGCGTGGGATTTTGAGTTTTCACGAAGAGACAATTTGGGAGTGTTTGGATAGCGGAGAGTTTGAGTTTACAAGAAGAGACAATTGGATCATTGTCAATTTTCCCTGCAAAACCAATCGCCTGTGGAATTTTGAGTTTTCACGAAGAGACAATTAACTATGAACGTTAATTGCTCCGCAATTAATTGGTCTTTTGACTCGCAATTGGTACAATGTGTAAGTGTGAGATTTCAGCTTACTATCGGTACAAAAAAATAATCAACATGTCCTCTAAAAGAAGCCGAAATCTTCAGTTTAAAAGGGGTTCAACTTAAAAGTCGATTTTCTCAAAACTATGTTTCAACGCCCCGTGGCCACAATTCTCTCTTCGTGAAAACTCTAACGATATGAGGTCAAAGATGTAGGAATCGTTCCTGCGTGTTTTTATACCACGCACTTCACATAACCCCAGGACGTTATGTGGTAGTCAATGCTGCTGGTACAGTACGGTATGCCATGGTGCAGGCGGACCAAACCCGGCCAATTACCGACTTGATTCAAGTCTAGGCTATGAGATTGGCCAATTACCTGAGTGAGTTCTGTTGCCGCATATGGTTCCTTCAATGCTTGAAAGCTCCAAGGCAAAGCGCATGTGTTGCATCCTGGCCATGGCTTCCTGAAATGTTAAGAAAGAAAACCATACATAAAAGATCAACTTCTCTGATAAAGCAACTTTCGCAATCAAACCACCATACTAGCTGCAGCACGCAGACAACTTGTGGCAATTCTTGAAAGGACATTTGTGATGAAATTAGTTCATGAACACATTTTGTGCAACTTTCTACTCCTCTTCAATGAATTATCTATTTCACATCCCTTTTTATTGAAAAATGCACTCCTTATAGGCATTTCACAAAAGAAAACATTTGTGGGAAAGGTTTGCTCAGTTACTGCCATGTCCTGACACAACAAATCACCAACGAAATCACGAAAGAAATGAAAATTTACGCAAGCAAACTTTCCAAAATTCTAGTAACTTTTTGTGCTGAAGTAGACGTAACATTGAGGTCTTCGCCCAGAATGAATCATCACAGTTTTGCTAATGAATATGGAAATTTGCATTTGCATCAAAGCAAAAAGCACCAAAATACCCTTGGAAATATCCTGGCATAATGAAAATGGAAAAAGGTTAAATGGGACACAAATGAAGCTGCATTTTCAATGATTGCATTAAAAAAAATTTAATTGATTGGGCCCTTTAAAAAAAAAATTATTTGCAAAGGATTATGTGCATTGTACTACTACCCCCACAATGATTACACTCATGCTATAAGCCAAGCAGCCAAATGAATCTTATGGACATTCAAATGAAAAGGAGTTAGCATGCTCTGTGTGAGGACCAGTGCGTAAATTTCATACCGTGTGAGGACTACAGACTATGTATTAAAGTCCTCAATCTGTTGTCGAGAACAGTACTCGCATGTACATGTATGTTTGTGTGCTTCGTCTATGGGGGAATTAAAGGTAGAGTAGATCATTTGCAGCTATCCAAACAAGAAACTGACCAAATTATTGTTGAAAGCTTACTTGGTTTAAATATAGTAATGGCAATAAACTCCCTGTGAAAATATTCTTTCTTGCATGCTGTCATTTTCAGAAAAATGACAGCAAAAGAAGGCAATTTCCAAGATACATCAAGTGAGTAGTAAGGTTTGTAATTTGAAGAATCTGTGAACGGGTGCGTGTAAGCACTGACATGACACACAAGCACACGCCATTGCTAACTATCATTTATCGGTTCGTTGCGTGGCATAGTGTAGCTGCAATGGGCTGAATGAGAACATGTCCCGGATGCTGATTTTGGGCGCAATTCAAAACATGACTCTGCAACTTTGGATTTGAAATCGAGATCCCAGTATATTGGGTTCTTGGAATGTACAGCAATTACTGAGCTAAAATGTTTTCAGGTTAGTTGTTAAACATCTGCAGATTTTGAACAGTTTTGTAGCATCAAGCAAAAAAAATGCCTCAATGACAGGACCTCTCTTACCCTTATGACTCTACGCCCCGCCCTTTTTGAGCACCCATATACTGATTTCAAATAGACTGACACCACTTTATTGCTGAACATACCTGTTCATCAGTCTGTGATGTGTAGAGGTAGGTGTGGCTCTCCCCAATCTCAGCATTCATCTCAGCAATGGACCAATCAGCCTATGGAGGGCACAAAAGATGAATGAATATTCAAAAATAGTGCTGCATGAACTGAACTGGGATGCAATAAAAGAGAAAGCCTTAAAAATGTGTGTTTTGAAAGTTGTGTAACAAAGCACTGCTGATGCTGAATCACTGAAAGAAATAACAAGTTTTGTTATGATGAATATAATTTGAATGAACTACACTGTAAGCAAGCGTAGTGCTGTTGAATGCTATACATACATGTAAAATACCAACTGCACACGAGCTAAAATGTAGATAAATAAAAAGAAAGTGACAGAAAATAAAACCCACAACAAAACAAAACTACGTTCCAAAACCAATTACTGTCGGTTCATTTTTTACCTCTTTTTATATGTTTATTTTGTCTACACAACAGACTTGAGTATCCATGGGCATCAATCAGAGGGGATGGGGGGACAAGTCCCCCCTTCCCACTTTTTATTCATTAAAATATATCATTTGTGTCCCCCCCCCCCCACTTTTTTGTCCCCGAATTGAAATTGTTGCCAACATAATGATTCTATAGCTCACAATAGCTGATGACTCCAAACTCAAAAATAGATGATTATTTTGCTCACAACAATTTGAAGTGGTCAGAAATTGCCTCAGATCACACCACAGAGCGTCTAGAATACAACATTTTCCGGGGGCCTTAAGCTGGCTCTAGACCCCATGCTGTTAGGGCTTCGCGCTCGCATTAACTCTGTTGAAGAAATGCCCCTCCCCCTACTTTTGAGAATCTGGAAATTCCACAAGCGATAGACACCTGTGTGAGTATCCCGACTGGAAACATATCAAAGGATATTAAAACAGGTGTCATCTGCAATAAGAGTCAGCTCAGAATAACTGCATCAGGTAATTGACCCTGTGGCTTCTTTATGTTTACCTTTCTGATAAAACTGTCCATAATCTTGCTAATTACAAGCTCTGGACTCTTGGATCCATTAGATATAAAACACAGTCAGCATGCTGTATTTGATTTCACTATGAGCACGTACCAATTAAAGCTCTACGTAAGTGGAAAAGTGGGGACTGCAAATATTACCAGCCAAACACCTTTGGATCCATTTGATATAAAACATTGCATTTGATTTTACTGTGAGCACGTACCAAAGTGCTATGTTATCAGACTTTGGGTACTGGTACTGCAAATATTACCAGCCCAACACCTTTGGATCCATTTGATATAAAACACTGTATTTGATTTTACTATGAGCACGTACCAAAGCTCTACAGAAGTGGAATCCAGGGACTGCAAATGACTGAACTCAAAATCAGGTGACATGGTCTGTGTTGATACAGAGGGGCGTATACATAGAACGCCATCTTTGTTCATTTCAACCATTGCCGTAAGTGACATCAGAATGGGCAGATAGCAGTGGTTCATTTCATGTGTACCTTAAGGTAAGATTTTGTGGGTCTACCTGTAAGTCTGTCTATACATCTGATATAAATCACCAGCATCACATTATCTCATATGAAGTACATGTACGTAATAACTCAGTATTTGCCAATTACAAGTGTATACGTATTTACTGGAAATTCAGGTGGATCCATCAAACCTGTTAGAATACAGACATGTGGAATACATGAATATCCTTATATTTATGACAGAAATAAGTGATGTATTGTTTGTACATTTACATGTAGTCTTACAAAACAAGTGTTGGACCTTTAAGAAGATTCGGCACAGACGTAGCTTAGTGAATCACAAAATAATAATAAAACAAACAAAACAATAAAACTGATGTGAAGGTAAATGTTTTTTTAATGATATTTCTTAACTCTAAAAGGGCTGGGGGGGGGGGGAATCCCTCAACATTTTCAGCGATAGCCTCTAAAAAAGAATTTTTTCAGGACCCGAGCTGTTATGACTTTTAAGCCTCAAGCTTTGTGCATCTTCTGATACCAAAAACATACAAATCAGACCACAGGCTGCTGCGTTGCTATGCGCCATGAAAACTGAATTTTCCCATATACATGATGTACACAGAGCAGAATTGCCATTCCTACATATGAATAATTAATTAGCCATAATACCCTTTGATCTATAGTCATGAAATTTCTTGGGTATGTTTAAGAAGAGTTGCTCTATGCATGTACGGAGTTTCAAAATTTTTCGTCACTCGATGGTTGAGCTGAGTGATGGTCAAAATAACCCACCCCTTTCAGGGTTAAAGGAAAGTGGACTTTGAGTCTACGATTTGAAATATGAGCCAGTTAAAGTACTTGAAATATGTTGGGTTTTTTTTCGGTGCAGACAATATTTGGTTGCAGACTCCTGCCCACCTGGACTCAAACCACCCAGCTGACCCAGGCAAGCTCAGAGGTTGAGTGGTAAGACATTTGCACTGAACAGGAGGTACTTGGTTTGAGCCCCACCTGAGTATTAAACAGTAAGACTGACCAGATTTGATATACAAGTGCCCTTTTACATCATCGTTTATCAACCCCCCCCCCCCCCCCATATTTGTAAAGAGTGCCCTTTGTTTTTCAACAAGGTCCTTTTTTTAAATCAGTGCCTTTTTGGTTACCAGCGGCCATTTACAAGTGCCCTTTTAAAAAAATTCCGCGCGACCGTCGGCATTTGTTTTTCATTGAAAACTTTATTACTGAGACCTACTTTTGTTTGACTTGTTATGAACTTTATTACAACTTACTTGAGACGTAGAAAATGTCCTGTAACAGCTGAAAATAATTCTTTAATATTGCATTTATCAGGACAAAATGTGCTCTTATATGAACAAGGCAACCCTATTACACATTTGTTGTAACTAATTGTTACTTTCTTTTGGAAAAAAAAACATAACATCAGGTTTGAATCAAGCATATACTATGTGAATAAACCTTCAATTTTATGAACACTCTACTTGACAAAAAGTTTTCAACTATAAGCTATGGCTCTAAACTTATTTCAACCAAATTATCATTTGAAGTTGAAATACGTGTTATTCCAAAACCTTTTACTTAATGTGCTTCATTTTCAGGTTAAAGGTCCATCCTATCGCACCAAGCCCAACAGTGAAGATGGCATCTAATGTTACAGCCCAATCAGTGTTGGAGAAGATTAGTGTGGATCATCTGGAATGCTCCATCTGCACCAACCGTTTCAGGCAGCCCAAACTGCTGGACTGTTTGCATAGTTTTTGCCTGCAATGCCTCCACGATCTGAGACAGAGCCAAGATCCTAGTGGTACTGCTACAAAGCTGACATGTCCATTGTGCGGATGTGAAACCATGTTGAAAGGGTCTGGGATTGCTGATCTCCCTAATAACTTTGCCTTAAGTGCCATGGTGGAGGAAGTTACAATGCAGGAAAAGCTACTGGAAGGTCAAGGGTCAGAGATCAAATGTCAAGCCTGTGATGAGGAGAATCAGGCTATTTCACGATGCATGGACTGTGATCATTTCCTCTGTCAAGAATGTCAAAAGGCACATGAAGGTATGACTTTGATGATGAAATCTCACAAAATCTACACACTGGCTCAACTTCGATCAGGAGAGAGAGTGTACAAGAGTAAATTAAGAGACAAAATTCCTAAATGTGGCAAGCATCCAGAGCAGAATCTCAATGTCTACTGCAACTCATGTGAGCAAGTCATATGCACAACATGCTCTGTAATTGAGCATGCAAAACACTCACTCACTGGATTACCTGAGGCAGTAGAAAAATGTAAGAAAAACATAGATGAACTTGTTGCAAGAGTTGGCGAGGGTAAAACAGAATTGAACAACACCACGGAAGAGATGTGCAAATCTCGCAAAGAGCTTGACACCATGTTTGCCAACACTCAAAAGAAAATCTCTAAAAAGGCTCAACAGGAGATTACAAAGATCCAACAGGAGGTTGCAAAGATCCAAAAGGAAGAACATAATTTGATAAAAGAGACAGAAAGGATTTATAAAGGCAGAGTCAGAGCATTTGAAGCTGCTCAAGCCAATAACAGCAAAAGGGTGACAAAGAGAGAGCACAAGCTGGAGGAGGTCAAACAACTCATGGATCAAGCAAGTTGCTATGAGATTCTTGAACTTCAGCAGAAGCTCTTGCATAACCTCAGTGAATTTACAGGAAAAAAGCCACAGCAAGTTCCTGACAAGTTGGCCTTCATGGACTTTGAAGAAGGTGAGAGGTCACTTGGGAGACTCATTCTGAAAGATGAGCCAAAGGCTGCAGAAAAGCCAACGCCAAGACGTGCAAGATCATGTGTGAAGGAGAAATGGGAACTGAAATCTTATTTCAAGAACTTTGGATTAACAAATGCATTGATAACACATTGTGCAACACTCTCTGGCAATAAAATACTTGTACTATCTAAAAAATATTATGGAAACTATGATGCACTATTTACAGCATCCATTCCAAACAGTCATCAGGACAAATCTCCTATCCCACAAAGGCTACAAATCAATGGCCTCACTGATAATGTAAGGTGTATTGCAGTGAGTAAGGATGACAAGCTCCTTGTTCTAGATGGTCCAGTAGTCAAGGTCTTCAGCAAGCAACATCAGCTCCTCCATCAGTTCACACCAGGTAGCGGGCAAGACAGCCAACCAACATGCCTTGCAGTGGATGACTTCAATATGATAGCAGTGGGTTATGAAGGTGATGATGAGATATCTCTACACAACCCAGATGGATCCCTCATCAGGAGACTGCCTGCTCCAATGATTGCAGGTTATCTGACAATGTACAATCACCGCCTTATCTACACAACATACAACAAAAGGTTGGTCTGTGTAGACTACTATGGTGCCAGGGTATTCTCAGTATACACGACCAGGGGTCGTTGCCTTACTGGTGTGTGCTGTGACAGTGATGGCAGCATCTATATTGCTGCGGAGGGATATCTAACAGGTAACATTCTGCATTACAGTCCTGATGACAAGTACATTGGATGTGTGATCAAGGGATGTGGTGATCCACGGGGCATCACATTCACATCGGATGCTGAGCTGGTAGTGGCTGCAGGAGAGTCTGTAAAGATCTATCACCG